AGGAACAGCAGGGTCGGTAACAAGAGAGGCAAGGACCCGAGGGACAAGGGGACGAGCAGCACGGAGGTAGTCAGAGAACGGAGGAGGTGCAACAGCAAGGGACGAGGGAGGAGGGGACGGGAGGAGGGGAGGACGAGACGAGTGGGAACGGAGCAACATAGGGTGGGTGGGCAGGACAGGAGAGACGGGACGAGCACGGGAGGGACGGCGAGCCCAAACGTGAGACGGAGGGGTAGGGTCAGGGGACAGCGGAGGAGACACAGGAGGGGAACGAGGAGGAAGACGGGCCGGAGACGAGTCTGGCGGCGGGAACACAGGACCGTAGACAGGGAGGTCAGGAGGCGGTGGGGGAGACACCGGCGCGCGGTCTGGGGAGGGAAGGCCGAGCAGGCGGAGAGCGGAAACTGGCGGCGACGGCTGCTGCGGCGGCGACGACGGCTGGGCCGGAACTCTCGGACCAGCAGAGGCAGAACGACCGTCGGCAGAACACTCAACAGCAGCACCCCCAGAACCAACACCCCCAGAGCGAGAACCCCCTCCAACACCAGCGGCACCCCCAGAAGCCGCAGGACGAACACCCTCCTCCACACCAGCACCCCCAGGGGCCGAGAGCAGCGGCGGCAGTGGCGGCAACGGCTGCGGCGGCGGCGACAGCGGCGACGGCTGCGGCAGCGACAGCGGCGGCGGCGGCGACGAAAGCGGCGACGGCTGCGGCGGCGACGGCGACGGCGGCGGCAGCGGGGTTGGCGACTGCGACAGTGGGGGCGGAGGCACCGGGGAAGGGGGACGCGGCAAGGACGGACCGGGGGTACCACCAGAGTCAGCAGACTCCTCAACGGGGACAACCGACGGGAGGGGAGTGACGTGGGAGACACCAGACGGGGCAGGACGAGGCGGGAGAGGGGCAGGGGCTACCGGGGGAGAGGGAGCAAGGAAAAGGGGGGGGGCAACTGGGAGACCTCGGTGAGGGAAGCGGCGGTAGAAGGAGACGGACTCATCAAAGGTGACGTCACGAGAGTGGAGGAAGCGGTGAGACGGCGGGTGGTAGAAAAGCCAGTCAGACGAGTCCAGGGGGAAACCGAGGAAGACACAGGGGACAGTGCGGGCAGTGAGCTTGTCCGTGCCAGAGGCACGAACGTGAGCAAGGCAGCCCCAGACGTGGAACGCAGACGCGTCACCGGGGGACCCGGTCCAAAGGAGGGTCGGCGAAACCTGCGGCCGCTGGGAGCGTGGCCACAGGTTAAGCTGGTGAGCCGCGTAGCGAACAGCGAACGGCCACAGAAAATGGGGGGCATCGGCATGGATCATGGAGGTACGGGCGACCTCCATGACCAAGCCGATGCGGCGCTCAGCAACCCCATTCTGCTGTGGCGAGTCCGGCAACGTGTACGACTGGGTGATGCCCTCCGCACGACAGAACTGTCCAAGCCGACCAGAGGCGAACTCGCCGCCACGGTCGGAGTGGAGACACAACACGGGGAGACCGCGGTGGAGACGCGCAGCCACAACCCACGGGAGAAGAACGTCGGGCACGTCGGCCTTCCGCTCCAGGGGAAACACCGTGGTGTAGCGCGTGTAGTCGTCGACAAGCACAAGGAAGTAGCGCTCACCGCGCGGTCCGGGGACGGGGGCAGGGCCCCAAACGTCCAAGTGCAGGGTCTGAAGGGGGGCAGTAGCAGGACGCAGCGAGGAGGAGTGAGGAGCACGGCGGAGCCGACCCTCGACGCAAGGCGTGCACGGTGGCGCAGTCGAGGGAGGAAGGGCAGGGAGCGACGCGGGGAGACCTAAGACAAGACCGTGCTGGGACATGTGACGCAGACGCGGGAGAGCAGGGTGACCTAAGCGGTGGTGCCAGAGAAGGGAGGGGTGAGTGAGGGACCGACACGAGCAAGCTGCAGCGACCTGGGAGGACGCACCAACCGGGGGGGAAGCGGTGTGTAGGGTAAACAGACCGGACACCGGGTCCCGGGGGAACGTCGCAAGGGGGGAACCTGAGACAGCCTCAGAACAGACAGCGAACCGCTCGTGCCCGGGGAACGTGGTGGTGACGCCGAGGTCCTGGAGACAGCCGACACCAACCAGGTTCCTGGAGAACGAGGGAACGTGGAGGCCAGTAAGGGAGCCCGAGGGAACTGCCGGACAGGGAAGGGACGTAGAACTGCGCGCGACGACCGGACCCGCAGAGGGGTCAGCGAGAGAGACAACAGCAGGTGCAGCAAGCGGCGTGAGCGTGGAACGGTCGCGGAAGAAGCAGGCAGAAGCACCAGAGTCGAGAGTGAAGGACAGCGACGCAGTGGCGGGGGCCGGGGACGGAGCCGGTGCAGCGACTAGACTAGGCAACCTAGGCAGTCCTACGCCTGTCGCAGCAGGGGAAGCTAAGCTACACAAGGGTGAAACACCTAAACTAGAGTACACAGGGTAGTAAGATCCATCAACACTAGAAGCGTCAGCATACAAAGCATGCAAAGCAGCACCTATCTGATCCATGTCTAACTCAAAGATCGGCACGCCCTGGCGGAGCAGGCTGTGCCAGTCAGGGAGGTCTGGGGCCGGGCCAAAGCGACGACGAAAAAGATCGTCGAGGCGGCGGAAACAGCGGGCGGTCGGGTGCGGGCGGCGGCACAGAGTGCCGCGGAGAGGCCCGGTCTGAAGCTGGTACTGGCATGTCACAGCACTGGAGCCGCTGGTAGACGCCAAGCTGCGCGGGCCGCCACCACGGCCACCGCCTCCGGAGGTGCCGGGCCAACCAGGCGGGAGACGAGCCCACGGCTGCGGCGGGTGCTGCTGGGACGGCGGCTGCGGCTGGGGCTGGTCCTGCTGCTGCTGGGACTGCTGCTCCTGCCCACCGGTGGTAGTCCCCTCAGGCAGACTACCGTCACCACCACCACGACCACTACCACCTGCGTCACCACCCCTACCTCCCTGGCGGCCACGGCCACCGCGACGCGAGCGCTGCTGCGGGTGGACAGCAGCAGCCGTCTCGGTAAGAGGGGTCGCCGTGGCGACCGCAGCCGAAACGTCAGTGAACGTGCACGGGGATGGGGCACAGCCGTGAAAGATAGAGACTGGCGGCGCACCGCTCGACTGAGCGATAGTGCGCTGGCGAGTCTCGATCTCAGTGAGGGTGTCGACAAAGGCGGTCAGGGTGAGGTCACCCGGGTGCTGGCTAAGAAAGTGGTCGCGAGCACTAGCGAGGCGGTCTGGCAGGCGCATAGCGATAAAATAGAGCGTCATGCAGAAAGGAGGGGGGAGCGCAGTGAGCTGGGCAGCAGTGCTGGCAGTGCGATAGCGAGTCTCTAGGGCACGCAAATGAGTGGCAAAATCTGCGACAGTAGGGAAGGCAGCCAGGTCTGGGAACAGCATCGGAAAGAGCAAGCGGCCAGCAGAAGCGGAGGCAGGGGTGGAATAGCGAGCAATAACAGCGTCTAAATAAGCTTTGGCCGTTTCAACAGTAGCAAAACGCGAGCGCTCAGACACAGGGAGGGCGTGACTAATAGCAACCTGAGCTACTGCATCGCGTGAGTCCCAGATCGCACAGGCCAGCGCAGCAGTAGAGAAAGCCTCACGGTCATCAGAGGAGGGGTCAGCAGGGAGGGGAGTAGGTGCAGGGGGACGGGGGAGCAAGCCATCAGCATGGACAACCAGAGAGTGGCCATCCTGGCGCTGACCTGTAAGCTGGCGGCGAAGATCGGAGAGCCAGGCGGCGAAGTCAACCGCGTGGCCCTCAGCGTCCAGGCGGAGCACAAAGTCAGCCATCGTGCAGGGTCAGCGGCACAGCTCCTCAGCGACACAGCGGCACAGCAGCACAGCTCCTCAGCGGCACAGGAGCACAGCGGCGCGGGGACACGGCGGCAGCACTCTCCAGTAGGGCAGCAGCTAGGCGTCCCAGCGCAGGCAAGCAGAAGACACAGGGCCCGAGAGGACACGGCAGGCCGAGCAGGGGAGGCGGGCAGGTGCTCTGGGGCCGGGCTGGTGCTGGGAGGGGCCAGGCTGGTGCTGCTGGGGCCGGTCGGGCACGAGGAGGGGCCGGGCAGCGCTGAGGAGAGGCCGGGCGGCGCTAGGAAGGGGCCGGGCGGCACTAGGAGGAGGCCGGGCGGCACTAGGAGGAGGCCGAGCGGCACTAGGAGGAGGCCAGGCGGGCGAGCGCTAACAGCAGGCGCGACAGGGGCCAGCGGGCGCGACGGGGCCTAAGGGGCGCGACGGGGCCCAGCGGGCACGACGGGGCCCAGGGGGGGGCGCGACGGGGCCGAGGAGGCGCGACGGGGACCAGCGGGCACGACGGGGCCCAGGGGGGCCGCGACGGGGCCTAACGGGCGCGACGGGGCCCAGGGGGGGCGCGACGGGGCCTAGCAGGCGCGACGGGGCCTAGGAAGCGCGAAGGGGCCCAGCGGGCGCGACGGGGCCTAGGAGGGGCGCGACGGGGCCGAACGGGCGCGACGGGGCCCAGAGGGGGGGGACGCGACGGGGCTTAGGAGGCGCGACGATGCCTAGGAGGCACGACGGGGCTCAGCGGGCTCGACGGGGCCCATGGGGGGCGCGACGGGGCCTAGGAGGCGCAACGGGGCCCAGCGGGGGCGCGTTAGGGCCTAGGGGTCGCGACGGGACCCAGCGGGCGCGACGGGGCCTAGGGGGAGCGCGACGGGGCCTAGGAGGCGCGACGGGCGGAAGCGGTAGGCGGGGGGATCCTAACCTAAGCGTGATACCATGTTAACGTAGAAACGAATGATTACTAGAGGTGGAAACCTAGAACAAATACTAGTTGGTTGTACTCACTAGAAGCATACCTCAGTCTAGCCTATAACTTCTACATAGATAATATGTATAAGTTGACACATCTAACCCGGGAATCCGTTACAGCACCAAGGTTTCGAGTTTTGCATACACCCCTCGAACCGATTTTCTTTTCCTGGCCAATTTTCAGCCTCCGAAACCCAGTACGAAACCTAGTGTCAACGAGCTGACACGAAGATTGGCACACGCCCGGAATGCGCCCTGACACATGAATGCAGAAGGTTTGATTTGAAGAGCCCCGGTAAAGCCAACAGGGTAGCGAGGATTTGCTTTGGTAAGAGCGTGGTTTAGAATGATGCACAAAATGGAGACATCACCTCAATACACAAAGTGAAGAGATGTTCTCATTCTCACTAGTCTATTTGTACCATTCAGTGAACTTCTTCCAGAATATAAGCACAAATATCCCGACACCAAAGAGCATCACAGGTGAGGATGGAGCATTGTTGTGGCCAGCAAGGAGGCTGGCAAACTGAGGGTTGTGGGAGACGAGGATGAGAAGCAGACCGAGAGCAAAGAGAAACCCCCCAGCTGCTACAAGGGAACGGCTTAGAAAGGGCTCCTGGCGGGAAGAGGTAATGGGGGAAGGGGTAATGGGGGGGGAAGAGGAAGGGAGACGAGGATGAGAAGCAGCCCGAGAGCAAAGAGCAGCCGTCCAGCTGCTACTAGGGAACGAGTCAGAAAGGGCTCCTGGTAGTGAAGGCGGGGTGGTGGTGGTGGGGCGGGAAGGGCATTGTTGTGGCTTGCAAGCCAGGTGGCAAACACTGGGTTGTGGTAAACGAGGATGAGAGAAGCAGACGGATAGAGAATAGGAGACCCCCCCCCAGCTGCTAGAAAGGAACGAGTCAGAAAGGGCTCCTGATGGGGGGAGAGTGGGAGAGAGAGAGGGAGAGAGGGAGAGGAGAGGAGAGGAGAGGAGAGGAGAGGAGAGGAGAGGAGAGGAGAGGAGAGGAGAGCAGAGAAGAGGAGGATAGGAGGGGAGGGGACGATGAGAAGGAAACCGAATGAGAAAGGCAGCCCTCCAGCTGCTACAAGGGAACGACTCATAAAAGGGCTCCTGATGGGTTAGAGTGGGAGGGAGAAAGAAGGGGATAAGGGGAAGGGGAAACGGAGGCAAGAGGGGGGGAGAGACAAGGATGAGAAGGAAATCAAGAGAGACGAACCATCCTCCAGCTGCTACAAGAGAACGCCTCAGAAAGGGCTCCTGATGGGACGAGAGAGAACTGGAAGGGGTCGAAGGAATCCCTTGTGTGGCACCTGATCGGGGAAGAGGCGGAGAAAGGGGGAAAAGGAGAGGGAGAGGGGGGGGGGGGTTTCTAACCGTCCGGTGCATGTGAGAGGCTTGTGGTTTGAGTCCCCTGGTATCAGAAGCACAGACAGAAGAGGATAAATGTTTCTGGGAACAAGGCAGGTTTAGCCTTGAGTCATCGAGTCGTAGGAGCCAGAGACTGCAAATTTAAGTATGAGCCAGAGACTGCAAATTTAAGTATGAGCCAGAGTATGCCCTCCCAACGTCCCCCTTTCCACTCCCCGCTTCCCCTCCCCCCCCCCCCCCAAATCCCCTTCCCCTTGCCCTCCGTCACCACCCCCCCGGGAGAGCCTCACCGTCAGATCTCCATCCACCAGTATTCCCAGTATTCCCGATATTCCCGATATTCCCGATATTCCCGATATTCCCGATATTCCCGATATTCCCGATATTCCCGATATTCCCGATATTCCCTTTTCCTTCCGCATCACATCATCAAGCGTTAGTCTGCTGCTGCCCGTTCCAACAGAAGCCCAAGAGGGCCCGGGGGAACGGGCTGCCCATGAGGGCTCCACAACTCAATACACGTCCTCATGGACAGCCCATGTGATAGGAGTCTAGTTTTGAGGCGCCTCAAAACTAGTCCTCATGGACATCCCATTCCCTCGGGCCGCGCACCAGCTGCAGCCCCCGCCCGACCTCCAACAGCCAGGCCCCTCAGGGGAGGCTCACCTCAGAAACCATCCGGGTGGTGCCGCTCGGACCTGCGTCCCCCCTCGTCCCCCCTCGTCCGCCCTCGTCCGCCCTTCTCCCATCACCCCCAAACCCACCTTGGGTTCGCCATCGAGCGGTACTCTGCTGCCGGGCTTCCCCGTATAAGTCGTCATCGATCACCCGTTCTTGGGGGTCGGTCGGCACCGGCTGCCCTCTACCCGCTTTTCACCCACTCACCTTGGGCTCGCCATCGAGCGTTATTCTGCTGCCCGGCTTGCCAGTATAAGTCGTCATTGACAGCCCGTTCCGCGGGTTCGGCACCAGCTCCAATCCCCGCCCGAGCGTCGACGACAGCGCGAACAGCGCCTTAAGGCCGTACCGCGCCTTAATCGCCACCACGTCGATGCGGTCCGCGTGCCACCCTAACAGCTGCGTCGTAAACGAATAGGCCGGCCCCTTGCCCTTGCCGCCCTTGCCGCGGCCTCTAATGTACATATCCACGTGGACCTCCCTGATTGGCGCGCTAAAAGCAGTCGCGGATCGTTTTACTACTGGGCTGGCAGAGGGCCTACTACTCGTACTACTACTAAGGAGCGGTTCGGTAGGAGAAGACGCGTCGCGGTCTGATGTGGTCGGGATACCGCCATTACTATCATAAATGCCATCATTAATAGCGGGATTGCCCTGGATATTATCACCACCGCTGGAGTGAATGGCGGAGTGAGCCGCATTTACTCGATCAACCATGTCTACGATCGCAGAATCAAGTTAGTAGACGAAGACGACGAAGTAAAATAGGTACAAGGCGCGGTCTAGGTTTCCCAAAAACGCAGCATCTGCTCAACAATTGGAAACTGGTAACCTCAACGGAGAAGACAAAAAGCTAAAGCACGCTGGTTTGATACAAGAAAAGGTTTGGAATTTGGAAAGGTTTGGAAGTTTGGCTGAAGGTTTGGCATGTTCGTCGGAGGCTTGGAAAGTTTGGCACGGTTCGATTGGTTGGGAAGGTTTGGTAGTTTTGGTAAGTTTGGAAGGTTTTGAAGGACGCTTGGGAGGTTTTGTGACGGTTTGATTGGTTGGAAAGGTTTGGTAGTTTGGTAGTTTTGGAAGGTTTTGAAGGACGCGTGGGAGGTTCAGGAACAGCTTTGGTTTGGAGGGTTTGGTTTGGTCGACCTCGCCATAATCTCAACGTTGGGCAAACAAGGCTGGTAACGTAGCTCGCCGTAGTAATTTATTTTCGATCATTTTTTGTCTGCCGCTCATTCTCTTGTGGTCCTACCTCGACTAGATCGCCTGCCTTCCCGAGAGGTCCTGAAATTGATCGGGCCAAAAAAGTACTTACTACGGCGAAAATAACTTTTCGATCGAAAAAGAACTTTCGTCCTAAATCGATCGGCAAACAAGGCTGGTAACTGTTTCGCAATGCAAGGATTTAGCGATTTGCGGAGCAGTTTCCCTAATCTAGGCGACGGGCGCTATTTGTCAGCAAAATGTTGCCGAAGCTGAAGGGGGGGTTTGGTGGTTCTGTTCATCACCTCCTTTCCCCAACAGACTTCTTCACGCAGGGGTTGGGAAAATGCGTGGGCTTTCGTCTGCTTTGGCAATGTTGTTCACATTTCTCCACTCGCTCTCCAATCAGCGCCCACTTTCTCTCTCTATTGTTGAATACTTGGGAAACGTAGACCGTGCGCTAGTTGCCTGCAGCGACGCGAAGAGTCCAGAAGCGGAAAGCGCGAGCCAATGGCATGCCAGCGTTTGGCCTCGTTGATTTAGGACGTGTCTCGGGGAAGGCAGGCGATCTAGTCGAGATAGGACCACAACAGAATGAGCGGCAGGCAAAACTGGCTTCGCCGATGCCGGGGATCGAACCCGGATCTTCCGCGTGACAGGCGGAGATACTGACCATTATACTACATCGACATGTAAAGTACATGGGTAAGCAGAATACGGATTTTTTAAAGAAGCAGTTGGAATTTAGCGAGAGCACAAGAGGCCGAGAGGCAGAGTTTCCCGCCTGTTAGTTCCGCTGCTGAGATGCGTCGCTCGCACGAGGCGGAACGGAATGAGGCTGTCGCTGCTGGTCGCGGTGAACCCGCTGACGAGGATGACGTGGCGAAACGAGCACCGTGCGATGCATATCCTTCGGTTCGCGACGCTCGACTGGTTCTGCCGACGTCGATCCGTCCGCCTGTGCGACCCGCGACCGTTGAACTCTCGGTGGATGACTTTCTTTGTCCTATCTGCCGGGACCTGGTCTTCAAACCCGTCGTTAACGGTGCGTTGCTGACGTCATATTAAGAGCCATCCGCGATTTAGTGCCTTTGAGTTCTCCTCTTGAGTTCGTCGTCGACGGTGCGCTGCTGATGTCAGCGTTGCGCTTCTGACGACAGCGGTGCACTTCTGACGTCAGCGGTGCACCGCTGCAGAACCAGTGGCGTGCCACGTTAATCTCGCGCGCACTCGTCTGTTATGGTCGTGCGTAGATGCCGTGCCGCTCACTACCCAGCCCACGGCCACGTGTTTTGTTTTGCTTCTGGTGCGTGCATCGCGCGCCATGGCGCCTACTCTGAGAGCCGCTGCTTCATGCATCCCCCTGAATCCCTCATACCCCCTTCCCCCCCTTCCCCCCCTTCCCCCCCTTCCCCCCCTTCCCCCCCTTCCCCCCCTTCCCCTCCTCCCACCCGCATCCCCTTCAGCCTGCGGCCACGTGTTCTGCTTCTGGTGCGTGCACCGCGCCATGACCCCCTACAGCGAGAGCCGCTGCCCCATGTGCCGCCGGGCCTTCGCCCACTTCCCCGGGGTCTGCTCGCTGCTGCACCGCTTCCTGGCCGCCTCCTTCCCTGCTGAGTACCGGGCGAGGGAGAGGGATGTGCTGGAGGAGGAGAGAGAGATGGGCATGTTCTCGCCCACTGTGTTCGAGAGAGAGGAGGAGGAGGAGGAGGAGGGGGAGGGGGGCGTGCCTATTGAGGGGGGCGGAGGGTTTATTGAGCACGGGGGCGGGGAGAGGGATGTGCTGGAGGAGGAGAGGGAGATGGGCATGTTCTCACCCACTGTCTTTGAGGGAGAGGAGGGGGGGGAGCGGGAAGGGGAGGGGCAGGGGGATGGAGAGGGACAGGCGGAGGGGGAAGGGGTGGGGTTGCCTTTTGCTCACCGTGCTCTGACCTCTGCCATTGCTGCAGGTTATGGGGGCGGCGAGAGGGATGAGCTGGAAGAGGGCGAGCAGCAGGAAGGCACCATGCTGTCACCCACTGTCGCTGAGGGGGGGTTTGGTAGAGGAGGGATGCGGACAAGAGGTGGTGGGACAGGGGTGTTGCGGCCGGGTGAGGATTCTGCAGCGGTGTTGCCATCGGAGGATGGTGAGGGGGCGGCTTTCATTCATATGCCGCCGCTGAGACAAGGGAGAGCGGAAGGGAGAGGAGGCAGGGGAGGAGGAGAGGAGGAAGGGTGGAATGGGAGTGAAGGAAAGGGAGGAGGTGGAGGAAGGGGAAAGGGGCGAGTGGAGGAGGGGAGGGGCGTGCGGTTGAGTGCGGAGGGCTTGTTTCTGCGGTACTGGCAGCAGCAGTTCACCTGCAGAGCGTGCCGGCTGCTGCTGCTGCACCCGGTGGTGCTCAACTGCGGTCATGGTGAGTGAACTGTACCCAATTGCGACAATGGGGAGGGTTAGTTTTTTGGGTGCTTGTATCTGGCAGCAGCAATTCACGTGCAGGGTGTGCCGGCTGCTGCTGCTGCTGCTGCACCGTGTGGTGCTGAATTGTGGTCATGGTGAGTCAACTCCAGTCAACTGTAGTCAGCTGTAGTAGATGCAACTATGATGAGGGTTCGTTTCTGCTGTTGCTCCGACCAGAGGTGTCTCAACTGCGGCCATGGTGAGTCATCTCCAATCAACCCTAGTAAACTCTGGTCAACTCCAGTCAACCCTACTCAAATCAGGTCAACTCTGGTCAACTGGAGTTCATGCGGCCATGGTGAGGGTTTGTTTCTGTTGCTCAACCGCGGTCATGGTGTGTCAAGTGCGGTCATGGTGCATCAAGTGCGGTCATGGTGCATCAAGTGCGGTCATGGTGCATCAAGTGCGGTCATGGTGCATCAAGTGCGGTCATGGTGCATCAAGCGCGGTCATGGTGTGGTGAGTCAGCTCTAGTCAACTCTTGTCAAATATAGTCAACTGGAGTCAACAGATGATGTCGATGCGGCCATAGTAGTGAGTCAGCTGCAGTCATGCCCCCTTGCCCATTCCAAACGTCTTGACCAGATCTCACCCTTTTATTTTCCCGTTCGATGGTGCCCCCCCACCCTCCTTCCTCTCTCGCCCCCTCTCCATCTATTCGTCTGCTCCGCATTGCTCTCCCTATCGTCTCACCACAACCACTAGCACCTCCTCCTACGCCCGCCCTTCTAAACCTTCACAAACAGTTTCCCTTCTTCCATTCGAAATACACCCTTCCGTAATCCCCATTCCTCACCTCTTCTCTTCCCCCCCCCCCCCCCCTCTCTCGCCCCCATCCAGTTGTCTGTTCCTCATGCACCCCCGCTCGCCTCACCACGTCAGCCAGCACCCCCTCCCTGACCCACATCCCCTCCTCCTCCTCCCCTCTCTCCCTTCACCACTCCACCCCCTCCTTGCCGTATCACAGCCCGCCCCACCCCCTTCCTTCAACAGCCTCTCCCAGTGTCCCACCTGCTACCTCTGCCGCCCCACCTGCTTCCCCTGCCATTCCACCTGCCACTTTCCCCCTTCCTTCTGCTGCCCTGGCTCCTGCTGCTGCCTCCCCTGGGCGAGGCACGTTACTGGGACGGGTGCAGGGAACAGGAGCACCAGAAGCAGAGGGAGCAGCAGACGCAGCAGCGGAGGGAGTGGCAGGGAGGGGATTGCAAGGAGGAGTGGAGGGGGAGAGGGAAGCAGAAGGGGAAGGGGTTGTGGGAAGGGAGGAGGGGGGAGCTGCAAACAGGCCAGAGGGTGAAGGTGAGGGAGAATCAGTGGCATCAGGAGCCGCATTTGCAGAGGGTGGCGTTAGTGCTGCTGCTGGTAGCAATAGTGGTGGTGGTGCTGCTGCTGCCAGTGCTGCTGCTGCCAGTGCTGCTGCTGCCAGTGCTGCTGCCGGTACTACAGCCAGTGCTGCCAGTATGCGAGGCGGGGATGGCAGTCGGTGCATGCAGTGCGGAGCCGTGCAGCCGACGCGACGAGTGGAGGTGTGTGTGCAGCTAGTCGCCACGCTCTCTTCCCTCTTCCCTGCGCTCGTGCGGAGGAGAGCGCACGAGAGGAGCAGGGAGAGCGGGAAGGAGAGCGGGAAGGAGAGTGGGAAGGAGAGGAGCAGGGAAACTGGCAGGGGCGTTGCGGGGGAAGGGGCAGCCCGGAAAGGGGCTTCCATTGACGGTTTGCCAGGGGTTTCAACACGGGGCCGGCCAGGGACACAGGGCCTGCCATGGGTTTCAACATGGGGCCCGGACGGAGGAGGTGAGGTGGAGGGAAGTGGGAGGCGTGAGGGAGGGAGAGGAGGGGAGGAGGGGATGAGGGGGATGGGGGAAGGTGGAAATGGCGCATTTACAGTTTCTCCATTCGGGGTTGTGGCGAGTGCGAGTGAGAGTGAGGGCAGGAATGGCGGCAATGTGATGCTGGGAGCAGCAGCAGGTGATGGTGATGGTGATGGTGGTGGTGGTGGTGGTGGTGGTGGTGGTGGTGGTGGTGGTGGTGTTGTTGTGGCAGTGACACCAGCAGCAGCAGTGGGTGGTGTTGGAACCCGTCTGGTAGTGCAGAATGCAGACCCTTACATGCTCGCTGCCATGCAGGCAGCCACGCGCATGGGTGTGGGTGGGGGTGCGGGTGGGGGTGTGGGTGGGGGTGGGGGGGTGTGGGTGGGGGTGATCCGTACGTGCTTGCACCCAACCGTGCGGGCGTGCTTGCACCCAACCGTGCGGGCGTGCTTGCACCCAACCATGCGGGCGTGCTTGAATCAAGAGACAGGAGTGAGAGACGCTCGGATGTGGCTTGGATTGGAGGCGCAATTGGTGGCACACAGGGTAGGGTAGGGCGGGAGGGAGGAGGGGAAAGAGGAGAAGGCCGAGGAGGAGGAGGAGCAAGAGTAGTAGATGGAGAGGTGAGAGGGGGAGTGGAGGAAAGAGGGCAGGAGAGGGAGGAGGGAGGGGAGAGGAGTGAGGAGATGGGAAACAGGGGGGAAGGCAGGCCTCTGTTGGGGGATGGTGTTGGGGGGTTCACCACAGCTGGGGGAAATGGAGTTGGAGCATCACCTGGGGGAGAGCAGGGGGCAGGAGAGGGGGAACGGAGAGCGGAGAGCGAAGAGGTGGCGGAAGGAGAGGGGATATTGGAAGGCGAGCAGATGAGTGAGGGGGAGAGCACGGCGGTGCGGGCGGCGTGGGAGCGGCTGCACGGGGTGGTGAGGAGGATAGACTTGGCGCGCAGTGAGGAGGAGCAGGAGGGGCTGATGAGGGAGCTGGAGGAAACGAGGCGGGCCAACTACATCCACATCAGCGTTGGCTGCGACGGGTGCGGGGTGAGTTGACTTGCATTGACTTGGTTTGACTGGAGTGAGTTGTCCTTGCGCTGACTTGACTTTGCTTGACTTGTAGAATTGAGGAGTGAGGAGGGCCAGCTACATCCACGTCAGCATGGGGTGCAATGGGTCTGGGGTGAGTTTACTTGGGTATTCTGGCGTTGACTTGGGCTGATTTGGGTTGACTTGGATTGTCATGAAGCGAGGAGGAGCAGGAGGGCCAGTGTGGGGTGCAACGGTACGGGTGCGGGGTGAGTCCAGCATAGAGGTCTGATCCATACTGCTGCGCGGTGGATTGACAGGTGAAGAAAGGCGAGGAGACAAGGCGCTTGTGCCCCGCCTAGCCAAATTCACTGGTGGAAAGAACGAATGTTGCTTGCTGCCACGCACTGCTGCCTCGTCATCTCCTGCTTCCTTTTAAAAATCCAACCCCCCACCCTCCAACATCTCAACACATGCCTTCCCCAGTGTGTGGGCGTGCTACAGCAGTCCGCTCAACGAGTGGGCGCTTGGAGCACCTCACCTTTCTCCCCTTTTCCACCTCCCTAAAACAGGCCTTTCCCATACTGAGGGCGTGCTACAGCTGTCTGGACTGCCCTGAAAGGGTGGGCTCTGACCTCTGGGCCGCCTGCTACAGCTGCTACAGCTGCTACAGCTGCCCTTCTGTTGCCGTATCAACCCCCTCCCCTCCCTCTTTCAAAACAGGCCTTCCCCATAGTGGGGGCGCACTACAGCTGTCTGGATTGCCTTGAGTGTGTGGGCGTTGACCTCTGTGCCTGCGTGCTACAGCTGCTACAGCGGCCTTCTGTTGTCGTGTCCCACCCCCTCCCTTTCAAAACAGGCTTTTCCCATTGTAGGTGCGCGCTACAGGTGCCTGGACTGCCCAGAGCGCGTGGGCTTCGACCTCTGTGCCACGTGCTACAGCTGCCCGCCCCCTGTGGTGGGCCGCTTCAACCAGCGCCACGTCAGCAGCCACCGCATGGTGGAGGTGCGGCAGCGGGACGGCATGCTGCACCGCATCATCGAATCTGTGAGTGCGCCGAGGCTGGGTTGGGCTGGGCTGGGCTGGGCTGGGCTGGGCTCCGCTGGGCTCCGCTGGGCTGGGCTGGGCGTGCTCCGCCCGTTGGCACGTGAGCAGCCACCGCATGGTGGAACGGCATGCTGCACCGCATATTCGAATCGGTAAGTTGTGTCTGCTACAGCTGCTACAGCTGCTGCAGCTGCCCACACCCTGTGGTTGGGCTGTTCAACCAGCGCCACGTCAGCAGCCACCACATGGTGGAGGTGTGGCAGCAGGACGGCATGCTGCCCTTACATGTCTGCCACAGCTGCTACAGCCGCTCCAGCTGCCACAGCTGCTACAGCTGCTCCAGCTGCCACAGGTGCTATGGCTACCACAGCTGCTATGGCTGCCACATCTGCTATGGCTGCCACATCTGCTATGGCTGCCACATCTGCCCCAGCTCCCCTCCTGTGGTGGGAGGCCGCATGGCGGGGGTGCAGCAGTGTTGGTTAGTGAATAAGTCTCAAATTTGTTCAATAAGTAAATATAAAATCTAAACTGGTAAGTAGGGTTGGTTCTGCTACAGCTCACCCGGCCCCCCTGTGCGGTGTGGGAAGGGTTGGGTTGGGGCTGCTGCACCTGTACGTAGGGCTGTGTGTGCTGCACCTGTGGGTAGGAGGACATGACATGAGTGTGGAGTAGATAAACTCTCAAATCTTGAAGCTACTGTGTGTTCGGGTGGTCCGCATCAACCAAGCCTGGATTCTTTTCACCTGAACGTGTTCGTCTACTCCACACTGTAGCCTAGCTGCTATTGCACCCGAACCTGTTTTACGTGGTGCATGCCTTGCAGACACGTGCATCCACCGCTCATCTCACCGCTCATCTCACCGTTCATCTCACCGCTCATCTCACCGCTCATCTCACCGCTCATCTCACCACTCATCTCACCGCTCATCTCACCGCTCATCTCACCGCTCATCTCACCACTCATCTCACCGCTCATCTCACCGCTCATCTCACCGCTCATCTCACCGCTCATCTCACCGCTCATCTCATCGCTCATCTCACCGTTCATCTCACCGCTCATCTCACCGCTCATCTCATCGCTCATCTCACCGCTCATCTCACCGCTCATCTCACCGCTCATCCCACCGCTCATCCCACCGCTCATCTCACCGCTCATCTCACCGCTCATGTCACCGCGCATCTCACCGCTCATCTCACTGCTCATCCCACCGCTCATACCACCGCTCATCCCACCGCTTACCGCACCGCTCACCTCACCGCTCACCTCACCGCTCATCCCACCGCTCATCCCACCGCTCATCTCACCGCTCATCCCACCGCTCATCCCACCACTCATCTCACCGCTCATCTCACCGCTCATCCCACCGCACATCTCACCACTCATCTCACCGCTCATCTCACCGCTCATCCCACCGCTCATCTCACCGCTCATCTCACCGCTCATCCCACCGCTCATCTCACCACTCATCTCACCGCTCATCTCACCGCTCATCCCACCGCTCATCTCACCGCTCATCTCACCGCTCATCCCACCGCTATCTCACCTCATCTCACCGCTCATCTCCATCCACCGCTCATCTCACCGCCATCTCACGCTCATCCCACCGCCATCTCACCGCTCATCTCACCGCTCATCTCACTGTCATCTCACCGCTCATCTCACCGCTCATCTCACCGTTCATCTCACCGCTCATCTCACCGTCATCCCCCCTCACCGCTCATCTCACCGCTCATCTCACCGCTATCACCGCTCATCTCACCGTCATCTCACGCTCATCTCACCGCTCATCTCACCGCTCATCTCACCGCCCATCTCACCGCTCATCCACCGCTCATCTCACCGCTCATCTCACCGCTCATCTCACCGCTCATCCCACCGCTCATCTCACCGCTCATCTCACCGCTCATCCCACCGCTCATCTCACCACTCATCTCACCGCTCATCTCACCGCTCATCCCACCGCTCATCTCACCGCTCATCTCACCGCTCATCCCACCGCTCATCTCACCGTTCATCTCACCGCTCATCCCACCGCTGATCTCACCACTCATCTCACCGCTCATCTAACCGCTGATCTCACCGCTCATCTCACCGCACATCTCACCGCTCATCCCACCGCACATCTCACCGCTCATCTCACCGCTCATCTCACTGTTCATCTCACCGCTCATCTCACCGTTCATCTCACCGCTCATCTCACCGTTCATCCCACCGCTCAACTCACCGCTCATCTCACCGCTCATCGCACCGCTCATCTCACCGGCTCATCCCACCGCTCATCTCACCGTTCATCTCACTGCTCATCTCACCGCTCATCTCACCGCTCATCTCACCGCCCATCTCACCGCTCATCGCACCGCTCATCTCACCGCTCATCTCACCGCTCATCTCACCGCTCATCTCACCGCTCATCTCACCGCTCATCTCACCGCTTATCCCACCGTGTGAGATTGAGTGAACTTGAAAAGTTAATTAGGGAGGAGAGCACAAGGCCTTACATAGAGATGTGGGGAGGGGGGGGGGGGGGTTGGGCTTTCCCACCAATGAGGTTGACGCACTTATTGGTATCCCCAATAATGTTGGCCATAGCGGCCAGAATTATTGGGGGTGGCCAATTATGGGGAACTCAACCAATTGAGGTCCAATAATGACGAGGATGAGAACCGAACTTTGGGATCCCAGCCCCAACTAGGGTAACTATACCCAAGCTATAATAGGATGCTTATAACTACCCAAGACTTATTAGCTCTGTAGGCTAAAAGAATAGACAATATATTCTGACACAACCCCTTAGCCTGCATAGAGCAAGAAGTCTTGGGCATGTGAAAGAAACAACCCCTGAAGCATGGGGGTGTCTGAAAGGAGGATGCGGGCCCCCAGCGGAGGACGGGGGGAGTGCATGAAGCTACCGCCGGAGAGTGCAGCGGCGGGCGGCGGGTGGTGCTGCCGCCGGATGAGGGGCAGCTGAGGGCGGCAGGTGGTGCCGCTGCCAGAGGAGGTGCTTCTGTGGGCGGTGCGTGGTGCTGCCGCCGGAGGGAGGTGCAGTGGCGAGTGGCGCGTGGTGCTTGCGTCGGTGGGAGGTGCAGCTGCGGGCCGCCGGAGGGAGGTGCAGCTGCGGACGGCGCGTGGTGCTGCCGCCGGAGGGAGGTGCAGCTGCGGGTGGCACATGGTGCTGCCGCCGGAGGAGGACGCGGGCGGCGCGAGAAGCTGGCGCTAAAGGAGGACGCGGACGGCGCATGCTGTTGCCACCGGAGGAGGTGCAGCTGCGGACGGCATGTGGTGTTGCCGCCCAAGGGGGGAGGTGCTGAGGGCGGCGCTTGGTGCTGCCACCGGACGAGGTGCTGCTGCGGGCGGCGCGTGGTACTGCCGCCGGAGGGAGGTGCAGCTGCGTGGGGCACGGGGCGCTGCCGCCAGAGGAGGGAGGTGGTGCGGCGGGCAGTGCTTGGTGTTGCCGCCGGACAAAGTGCTGCTATGGCTAGCGCATGCGCTTCCCCCGGAGGAAGTGCAGCTGCGGGCGGGGCGTGGTGCTGCCGCCGTAGGGAGGTGCAGCTGCGAGCGGCGCGTGGTGCTGCCGCCGGAGGGAGGTGCATCTGCGGGCGGCGCGTGGTGCTGCCGCCGGACGAGGTGCAGATGCGGCCAGCGCGTGTTGTTGCCGCCGGAGGGAGGTGCATCTGCGGGGGGCGCGTGGTGATGCCGACGGACGAGGTGCAGATGCGGCCAGCGCGTGTTGTTGCCGCGGAGGGAGGTGCAGCTGCGGGCGGCGAGGTGCTTCCGCCGGTGGGAGGTGCAGCTGTGGGCTGCGCGTGGTGCTGCTGCCGGAGGGAGGTAAAGCTGCGGATGGCATGTGGTGCTGCCGCCGGAGGGAGGTGCAACTGCAGGCGGCGCGTGGTGCTGCCGCCGGAGGGAGGTGCAGCTGCGGGCGGCGAGTGGTGCAGCCGCCGGAGGAAGGTCAAGCTATGGGCGGGGCGTGGTGCTGCCGCCGGATGGAGGTGCAGCTGCGGACAGCGAGTGGCTGCTGCCGGAGGGAGGTGCAACTGCGGGCGGCACGCTGTGCAGCCGCCGGAGGGAGGTGCAACCGCGGGCAGCAGATGGTGCTGCCGCCTGAGGGAGGTGCAGCTGCGGGCGGCGAGTGGTGCAGCCGCCGGAGGGAGGTAAACCTACGGGCGGCGTGTGGTGCTGCCACCGGAGGAAGGTAAAGCTGCGGGCGGCGCGTGGTGCTGCCGCCGGATGGAGGTGTAGCTGCGTGCAGCGAATGGCTGCTGCCGGATGGAGGTGCAACTGCGGGCGGCGCGCGGTGCTGCCGCCGGAGGGAGGTGCAACTGCGGGCGGCGAGTGGTGCTGCCGCCGGAGAGAGGTAAATCTGCGGGCGGCGCGTGGTGCTGCCGCCGGAGGGAGGTGCTGCTGTGGGCGGCAAGTGGTGCTGCCGCCGGAGGGAGGTAATGCTGCGGGCGGCGCGTGGTGCTGCCACGGATGGAGGTGCAGCTGCGGGCAGAGAGTGGCTGCTGCCGGAGGGAGGTGCAACTGCGGGCGGCACGTGGTGCTGCCGCCGGAGGGAGGTGCAACCGCGGGCGGCGCATGGTGCTGCCGAGGGAGAGAGGTGCAACCGCGGGCGGCGGGTGGTGCTGCCGCGGGAGGGAGGTGCAGCTGCGGGCGGCGCGTGGTGCTGCCGCCGGAGGGAGGTGCAACTGCGGGCGGTGCGTGGCGCTGCCGCCGGAGGGAGGTGCAGCTGCGGGCGGCGAGTGGTGCAGCCGCGGGAGGGAGGTAAAGCTACGGGCGGCGCGTGGTGCTGCCGCCGGATGGAGGTGCAGCTGCGGGCAGCGAGTGGTGCTGCCGCCGAAGGGAGGTGCAACTGCGGGCGGCGCATGGTGCTGCTGCGGGAGTGAGGTGCAACTGCGGGCGGCGGGTAGTGCTGCTGCCTGAGGGAGTTGCAACTGCGGGCGGCGAGTGGTGCTGCCGCCGGAGGAAGGTAAAGCTGCGGGCGGCGCGTGGTGCTGCCGCCGGTTGGAGGTGCAGCTGCGAGCAGCGAGTGGCTGCTGCCGGAGGGAGGTGCAAGTGCGGGCGGCTCGTGGTGCTGCTGCCGGAGGGAGGTGCAGCAGCGGGCGGCGAGTGGTGCTGCAGCCGGAGGAAGGTGCAGCTGCTGCGGGCGGCGCGTGCTGTTGCCGCCGGAGGAGGGAGGTGCAGCTGTGGGCAGCCTGTGGTGCTGCCGCTTGAGGAGGGAGGTGCTGAGGGCAGCGCGTGGTGCTGCCACCGGACGAAGTGCTGCTGCGGGTGGCACGTGGCGCTGCCGCCAGGGGAGGGAGGTGGTGCGGCGGACGGTACTTGGTGCTGCCGCCGGACAAAGTGTTGCTGTGACCGGCTCGTGCGCTTCCCCCGAAGGAAGTGCAGCTGCGGGCGGCGAGTGGTGCTTCCGTCGGAGGGAGGTAAAGCTGCGGACGGCGCGAGGTGCTGCTGCCAGATGGAGGTGAATGCGGCGGGCAAGTGGCTGTTACCGGAGGGAGGTGCAGCGGCCGGTGGCACGTGGTGCTGCCACCGGAGGGAGGTGCAGCTGCGGGCGGCGAGTGGTGCGTCCGCCGGAGGAGGTGGTGCTGTTGCGGGTGGCATGTGCTGGTGCCGCCGGAGGAGGTGGTGGTGTTGTTGCGGGTGGAGCGGGCTGCTGCTGCTGGAGGAGGACGGGCGGAAGGGGAAAAGAGGGGGAGGACGGGCGGAAGGCGGGCTGGGAGCCGCTGAGGGGAGGGAAGAGGGGGACGGGAGGGGGTGAAGGCTGCTGCTGCTGCAGATGCGGCTGCCAGGATGGGACGAGCGGCGGGGACGGACAGCGCGGACGGACGGGACGGGACGGGGCGACGCGGATGGACGGCGCGAACAGACGGGATAGCGCGACGCGGACGGATGGGACGGGGCGACGCGAACAGGCGGCGCGGACGGGCGGGACGGCACGATGTGGACAGACGGGACGGGGCGATGCGGACGGACGGCGCGGACGGACGGCGCGGACGGACGGGACGGCGCGACGCGAACGGACGGGACGGGGCGACGCGGACGGACGGCGCGGACGGACGGGATGGCGCGACGCGGACGGATGGGACGGGACGACGCGAATGGACAGCGCGGATGGGCGGGACGGCTCGACGTGGACAGACGGGACGGGGCGACGCAGACGGACGGGATGGCGCGATGCGGACGGACGGGACGGGGCGACGCGAACGGACGGTGCAGACGGACGGGACGGGGCGACTTGGACGGATGGGACGGGGCGACGCGGACGGACGGCGCGGACAGACGGGACGGGGCGACGCGAATGGAGGGCGCGGATGGACGGGACGGGGGGTGGCAAACGGGTGGTACGGGGCAACGCGGACGGATGAGACGGGGCGACGCGGACGGATGGGACGGGGCGATGCGGACGTATGGGACGCGGCGACGCAAACGGACGCCATGGAGGGACGGGACGGGGCGACTTGGACGGACCGTGCGGACGGACGGGAGGGATGTCTCGAGGAGAG